TTGTGACCGAACTTAAAAATACCACTGGCATTCACAGCAGCGAAATCATTTGCTCTTCTTTGTATTTAATGCTGTCAGTGGGCATGTGCCTGTGTGAAAGTCGGGTGTAATGTTAAATTACTCTCTACTGTGACATTCACATGCACGAGAAATAACTTTGTTTTGTATGTTTGAATCTATCATAGATATATATATTTTCAAGGTTGCGCTGCACTCGTAAATGTTTTACATGTGTTATTCTAAATAAGCACTTGCTAAATAAGCACTTGGTTATGGTGCTCAATTGACAGTTATTGTATAAGCCGGGCAAAAATAAATATAGCTGATATTTAGTCCAAGGCTGTTTGAAAAAAAGTTTTGCCAGTTTCCGAGTCCGGGTGATTCGGGTTGACAAAAATTTTGGTGAGTATGAGGCTGGCTGAGTAACATCTGCTCCATCCTGCGCTGAACCATTGCTGTTGCGCCAAACTCTCTTAGCAGGGCCATACTAGACCCGTGTGCTCGGATTTGGGTGCACGTTAAAGAACCCCAGGTGGCCGAAATTTCCGGAGCCCTCCACTACGGCGTTTCTCATAATCATATGGTGATTTTGGGAGGTTAAACCCGACATATCAATCATTAATCATTATCAGGCCCATACTGCGCTGCAGTACCCAAATTTATTGGCACATGCGATAGCTATCGAGCCTAAAAATGTGACTGAAACATCATTGTTCAGTTTCATTGAAACTGTGGTAGTTTCGCTTTCATGAAGGCTGTGATCGCTGGCGAAACAGCTGCAAACATTGATTTTTAAGACACGATCGCTAGCGGTTGTGCTACCTTGGCAGGCATCAGCGGGAGTGGGTTGGTAAACCCTTTCATATGCAGTGCTTTCAATGCAAAGAGTCATCTCTATCTGGTGCAACCATATTTTTTTACACTAGTATTTTGTAGAGTTACGAGATATTGGATCTAGAAGAGTTGGCTGCATACCAGCCTTATTTCGTATAACAATTAAATTTGTTGCTGTTGCTTTCATTGTTTCGTTCTACAGCGCAACAGATTTTTTTATAACTTGATGGCAGCACTTAAAAAAAACTATGGTAATGAGGCTCGAATGAAGGGGTGTGGTGCAGGGTACTGGAACAGCCTAGCAAAGACAGGTGTACAGGATTGTTTATCGAGTGCTTGCACATATTCTTGTTCATTTCGTCACTTTGCTCCTTTATACGAGCTTATCAACTCTGCAGTTGACACTCGATCATTTAGGTTAGAAGATGGTACTGCATAGCTAAGACAAGTAAGTTTCATCGCAAGGGCGAAGCAATGAATGCATTGGCAAAGCAGCTATCTCTTTTGAATTCGATCTCATGTAACTCTACAAAACGCTCGTGTAAAATACGGGTGCATCAGAGAGAGCAAAACTTTTCTTGCAGTCCCTTCGTGACGAGAGCACGGCACATAGAATTATAGTCTATTTCATGGATGCAGCAATATTGGGCTGTTGGCCTTTGTTTTTTATAACCCTTTAGTGCCTGAATACTACTGGACAAAACAAAAATTGTTTTCATTTTTAAGCTTTTGATTGCCAGAGTTATGTGATTTTGCAGCTAAATTATTTAAAATTCAACTTTTAACCATTCTTTTATGTGTGTCACAAATTCTTCATATGCCTGAGAACCGAGGACTTTGCAACAAAAAAACGTACTTCGGAACTGTGTAACTCGTTGTGTGCCACCAGTTTAGTGTGCATATACCAAATGAACAAAATTATTGAAGATAGAACTTGCATCACCCAGACGAGAAAGAACAAAGTGAGAGCTATCGCACGTACTTTGTACTCTCTGCCATTAGCTACAAAACAATTGGTTCTAGCATTAAATACTTTAGACGAGATTGCACTAGGTTTTCATGCGGAAAGCTACGTTCCCCCTGTGAGACATGCATTTCGTGACTTGCCTGCTTAAATTTTTTTTCGGTATTTCGCAGATTCGCTATACTAGGCAGTAAACAACCAAGCAAACAGTGTTACAATGGACGCATACACATGAAGACAGTTAGGTTGGTGCATGTGATGTTTAGGCCTTAATAATTCATGTCACAATATAAAAAAACAAGAAAAAATGTCGGCTTAATAGCCCAAAAGTGCAGCACCTAGATATCCGATGTAAAATAGTCCCTATGAGCCACCAATATGGCTGTTCAGCTAGTGCATTTGCCAACAATTGTGACAGCATCCTTAGAAGCAAAGTTACAATTGTTGCTCGAACGAATTCCACCCCCCTTCTGCATTTTATCATGCTCATTCAATAGAGGCGAGTGAGGAGTTTTCTCATTCTCTCTGCTGCAAAGACAGGCCTCCAAAGTATGGTGACGTTATCGCATGGGCCCTCCCAGCAACTGAGATGGGCCGGTTCATTTGATCTTTAGCTTACGCCCATTTTCATGCGCTTTTCCGCAAGTAGAACATGTGCTGCGCGGATGGATGCTGTAAATTTTTACTTTAACAAGATACGATGAAAATGGAAAAGACCTGGGAAAAGTGGCTGTATTATTGCTGTTGTGCAATAATAATACTGTTGCACAATTTAGCTTAGTGTTTGAATAATTCAGTATTAGGCAAATGTTGCTTCATAAGCACTTTGAAACAGGGCTAAGTCTGCTCTGAATGTTTTTCGTTATTGTTCCAAGCCTGCTCCAAAAGGCACTTTTGCCTGCTCCCAGGACTTCTCCCAAACCCATGCACCTTGTTCCATCCACCCCTGTGATTAGAGGGTGGCAGCAGTTCTCCCCATCAAATGCTAGACACAAGCTCAATTCAAGCCATGAAGGTGAAATTCAACTGCTGTAAAAAAAAAAACTGCATATTTCCGCACAGTGCAAGCTAGCTCAGCATAGGCCTGTTATATTTGTGAACCAGGCAGATGAAGTGTTTGGCCAATGTAAGCAGTGTCTTATTTGGTTAAAGGGACTGTCTACTGCTCTTTCTTCTGATTGTGGTGAAAATGAGAAGATTGTTCGTCACGTCGGTGCCAACGAGCATGCTTTTTGGTTCGAAAGAAGTGGAAACAACTCTGCATAGTAGCAGAATTTGACTTTAAATAGTATGTAAGTGATGACCTGTAAAATACACTGTTTTAAAAATTTACCAAAGTTGGAGCATATAAGAAGGTATAACAAACTTTTAAACTTGGAAAGTGATGAATCGATGCAATTGTGTAATACAGTCAAAACCACCTAAAATGACAACTGTTTTCACTCTATATCAGTTATAATAATGAGAAGCTGCTGCATCATCATCTTTTGTATGTTTTCTATGATTAAAGAACCTGCTTAGAGAAATGCCCGCTTCTCACATTATCAGTTATAACAATTCATTCTAGCTGGCTGTTAGGTTTTCATTCTGGAAGGCAAACGAACCCGAAACCTGCAAAAAAAAAGAAAGGAGGAACCACGAGATTCAAGCTACTAACAACTGCCTCAACCTCAACGTCCACCAGTGCAATATGCTTCATTGCATGGTGCGATGGCATTGAGGCAAAGCTGACTTTTAAAATCTTTTTTTGCTCGGAACTTTTGGACATTCAATTTGAGTAAAAAGTTGATGCTTTGTAAAGTTTCAGAGTCCATATCTTCAGGTCTTGATGTTCATTTGCGCCGGTAGGCTTGTGGCGGTCCTGTTAAGGTGCCCCAATTTTCAATCATGTCTGAAAATAAGCAGCTTCGCCATCCTTAATACTGATGCTTCTTCGCATATCCCACCTGATATTATAGGTTTCTTGCAACAGTCTACCGTCCCTTATTTTGCTTTTTTTTTGTTCAACTCGTTTATAACAGTTATCAGTTGCAACAGTGAAATTTTCGTGGCACTTCAGTATTGCCATAAGCAGCCCCGCCGCGGTGGTCTAGTGACTAAGGTACTCGGCTGTTGACCTGCAGGTGGCGGGATCGAATCCCAGCTCGGGGGCTGCACTTCCGATGAAGGCGGAAATGCTGTAGGCCCATGTGCTCAGATTTGAGTGCACATTAAAGAACCCCAGGTAGTCGAAATTTCAGGAGCCCTCCACTACGGCGTCTCTCAGAATCATATCATGGTTTTGGGATGTTAAGCCCCACATATCAATCAATTATTGTCATAAGCAGGTTTGACATGTTCATTTAACCTTGTAGTGAGGATCTGTGGCAGTGTCGATTTTTATGAATATATTCATGGTGCAGCATCCATGCACTGCAGTGAAACCACCTTTACAGGGAGGTTACATATTGTCTAATATTCATATATTCTTTCATTTCTAATACTTCTAAATTTTTAATGGTTTAAATTTGAATACAAATGCATTCAAATGACATTATATTTGTTCAAATATTCGAAGTGCTCGAATATTCACAAAAGCCTAATTGGGACAAGTTGGGACGGGTTTTTGAGTGTGAGCTTTTTGAAAAAATTTGTTTTTTAACAATTTTCATGTTTAAGCATCTTGTGAAAGAACAATGTTTAACAGAAATATTTAAATATTCTGTGTGAAATAGGAAATGTGCCAAGGTGTATCAAGGTTAGCAAGCTTTCTTGATCTGGGCTATGTTGGCATTTTTTTTACCACCTTTTTTCTCTTTTGTAGAGTGCATAAGGGAAGCATGTGTGTGAATAACACTGATGTGTATTAAAACCAGCAGAATATAGAGGAGCCACCACCTTCAAGTATATTCTTGGTGCGTTGGGAGTGTTTTCTGGGTATAAAATTTTTTCTTGTGTGTGCCCATTAAACATGTAATAAAACGAGACAAAACAAAATTATTGATCGTGCATAGTCTTTTGATCTCTTGTAGAATCATCCCGTAGAAATCACATTGATTGTGAGCACACATGCACACACAATTTGCTGCATGAGTGGGCGTGGTGGTAGCTGTCATTTACATGTTTGTGTTGCAGTTCTATTGGACTGGCAGTTCTACTCTTGAGCATATGAGGTGTGTTTGCAGACGACCAGCTCAGCTGAGCCCTATTTATTCTTTTCTAGGCTCGTGTGGAGGTGGACAAGGATGGCAATGGGGCCCAGATATTTGCCTATGCCTATGAGGTGAATCAGGGAAAGGGTTCTGGGCAGTACCTGCACCAACTGCTCTGGTATGTCCTTCTTTCCTGTTTGACAGTTCTTTGTCACTTGCAGTCACCTGCTTTGGAAACCAAAATATGCTTCGTCTTGCTCTGTGGCATCTGTGAAGCCAGATTGCACCGCACTGTTTGAGAAGCGTCGCCAAAGTTTAAGATTGTTCTGTTGAAATTGTGCTCGGTATGCGAACAGTCTAATTTCCTCAAGAGCTTATGTGGCCACCAGTGATAATGCTGGAATCTGCTATAGCACATGTATAAAAGCCCATGCACTTTACCAGTTCTCAGTTTATTGACAGGCGATGCTCTGTACACTGCTATCAGTGTGCCATGTTGAATTTTTGCTACCCGGGCGCAGGTTCAGTTCTTCCAAATCAAGTCTTGCCTTGAACATGCCGACTGCTTCCTTGGTCAACGTCATGACCACGTGACAATATTGATGCCATTTGCGCAGGGGTGGAACATTTGCGCCATTTCATTTTATTACCTTAAAGACTTATCTAAGGGATGCTACATAAGGGGTGGATGCACAGAAAACATACGAAATGGTAACCACATATATGTTATTTGTGAGACGGGTAATGTGTTGCACTTTGCGCCATTGTGTGCAAAACTTGTGTACCTGTGCCATCGTGCGCCGAACTGCCCTTGTGGAAACTCGTTTATCTGCGCCGTACTGTTTTGCAGCACCCGAATTCAGCGGCAAGGTGCGACAGCCATCAATCCCCATGCCCAAAGACATGGCTGAGACATCGTATTTTCTGTTCCATAGAAATTGTTATGCTTTTGGTTTCGTCAGTGATGGCTTGAGCTGTTAACTTTCATCATAAGGTTGCAAATCACTAGCGCATGCGCTAACTCGGCAGGCACCAGCGCGTATGGCTCGCAAACCCTTCTAATCACTGTGCCTTCCTGGTAAACAGGCTGTACCAAAAGAGCATCTCTCTGGTGTGGCAGTATTCCTACACCAGTGTCTTGTAGAGTTGTGTGATATCGGATATAAGAGAGTTAGCTGCCAGCCTTACTTTGTACAGGAAAATCTGGATATAACGAATCTCAAGGGACTGCTCAAAATCATTCATTATTTTGAAAAGTCATTGTAGTGAAAGTATTAGAACTTTCTGTAAGGAAATGTAAATGCTAACACGCAAGCCGCCTACCTGTGCTGCGTATAGGTTGGTCACCGTGTTTTGCTGCTTATAAGCGAGACAAAAAACTCGAAATATTATGGAACCAGTGCACGTTTATTGGAGGAAGCCCGCTGTAGTGTTTGCGGGGCACTGAGCACTCCGAAATAAATGGCACACACAAAGTTTTATACCATGCCTAACTCACCCTCGACTCTAGCGAGGTTGTATTTTATCACTCGACGGTGCCCCCTGGGGCCATGCCGCAGAACAAGGTACATTAAAATATACATTTCTGTTCCTTTTAACAAAAGGAATTAAGCTATACATAGTCTTCTAGGTACGGTGGGAAGAGTCTGCTGCTACACATCATGCCAAAATGTCCCCTCTTGGAACATTGGTAGCAAATGTTGCTGCGTTCGGGGCAGTTCTGAATAGGAGCATGCTGATAGCCTCAGTTGGGGCAGCCAGTTATGCAATGGGGTGGCCGGTTGTAATGCTGGCACATCGATGAAGGTGCAGCGAGTTGCCGCAGTAGAGGACGGTGCTGCACCGGGCTTTGATGGAGCGCAGTGTTTAACTGTGGAGGCTCTTCAGGCTTTTATTCTTGGAGGGGACGCTGCACGCGCTCAGCATCATTGCTGATCTTCACGGCTTTCTCAAACGTAAGCGTGGGCTCCTCGACAAGTTCATGTAGCCGCGTAGAAGTCAATCCAGTGAGTAATTGTTCGAGCGGTAGCTGGTCCTTCAATTCACTGAAGTTTTGCTGGTTAGTTGTGTCTTGCAATTCGAAGCGAAAATCCTGGGGGGAAGGATGGCTGTGACTACTACATGTGGTGGGCTGAACTTGGCTGCTGATGTTTATACCAATATGAAGTAGTAGGCGTCTTTGGTTGACTCTGGCGTTTCCGGTACGGCAGCTTGCCCATGCTTGCCATTGACCTTCGGTTCCAAGCAGTGTTTCCAGCAATGCCGCCTAGCGTTTCGCAGAAAAACTTTTGCCGGCAGCAGCAAGCAAATATTCTAAAAGATATTCAAGCCAACGCGTACAAGGTACTGTCGGTATTTCCGCATGGTTTCAAAATACGGGCAGCTTTTATATCAGGACAGCCAATCACAGCTACGTACGGTGTGTTATCAGCTGGCGTTTAGCTGACCTTCCTGGGGATGGTGGCTGGCTTTGTCAATGTCGTATGTCCACTGCCGTAGTAGTGTTAGCGAGGCACTGAGCACTCCGAAAGGAACGACGCACCATTCCACGCTTAAGTTCCAGTCCACGCCTAACTCACCCTCTGCTGTACCGAAGTTGTATTTTATCTTTGCTTGACTTGACGGCGCCCCCTGGGTACATAATGCAGAAAGAACAAGGTACATTATAATATCCTGCCCCGCCGCGGTGGTCTAGTGGCTAAGGTACTCGGCTGCTGACCCGCAGGTCGCTGGATCAGAACCCGGCTGCGGCGGCTGCGTTTCCGATGGAGGCGGAAACGTTGTAGGCCCGTGTGCTCAGATTTGGGCGCACGTTAAAGAACCCCAGGTGGTCAAAATTTCCGGAGCCCTCCACTACGGCGTCTCTCATAATCATATGGTGGTTTTGGGACGTTAAACCCCACATATCAATCAACATTATAATATCCTGATTTGTCCTGATATGGGCAGCTTGACTGCTGAATGACGAACATTTAAACATGTGCATCCTTTTTACGCACTGCGAAGCATCGACATTAAATACCGATTCGTTGGTTCGCGCGTGCTGTTTCAATGTCGTCGTGCTCTCATTGCGTTTCCTGAATGACAAATGGTATGAATCATGTCTGTCGTCAGCTACTTGGGTTCGTACAGGTCCTTGAAATCCTTGAAAACTCTTTAATTTGAAAATGCATTTACAAGGCCCTTGAAAGTCCTGGAATTTTGGCATCCTTAAAAATTCTTCAATTTCGTGAGCAGTGCATTCTCATATCGACATCATGACCTCCTATATGTGGTAAATCGGTGTGTCAACCTGTCAAACTTCCCATTTCTGAAGCAGTCACAGTTGGTAGTACTTCTTGATGCAGCGTGCGGCAAGTGGCAACTGCACAAGCCACCGCTCGTAACGGGGTGGTGCCATCCAATTTCGAGGCTATAGCAAGCGTTGTGCGGGTTTCTTTTTTATGCAAGGACACTCCACACAAGTATTCGAACTTGGAAAATGTTTAGAATATATTTAGTTCACTTCCCAAGTTAACCTAAATGCTCATTCTTCTAATCAGGGCCCATCGCGAGCATGTCCAACACTGACGAAGCTCTATAGGAAGGGCGACGAAAGTTGTAGTGACGTCAAAACAGATCTGTAGTGAGGAGAGTGACCTCCGGGCTTCTGCCACGTACCTACTGGCAAAGCATCGCAGCCTTCTGCTGCTAGCGGCGCATTTGTTCTGCAGGTGCTTGTTTGGCACATGTATGCGAGAGCAGACGATACCCAATATGACGCGTGCAAAGCTTTGGGATCATATGATTAAATCGCCTACACTGCTACGTACCTGCCCAACTGGGTGCCCACAAACAGGAACTGAATATTGTCTCTATCAATAAGACGATAAATTATAGCGAGGATAAATGAATCTTGGTTTGTGTATTGTGCTTGTTAGAGCTATAATTAATGCTTGCAGCATAGAGCACGCAAGCCACAAATATTGTGGCACCACCCCTTTAAGGCCTGACTACACATACGCGTTGAAGCCGGTCGGTGCATAACTTTGACACGTCATGCCCTTTCTCTATGGAGAATGAGGGAGAGGGTGCGAGAAGTTAAAAGAAATTTTTTGTTATAATTGCGATATCTATATATTTATTATAAGTGCAATAAAATTAGTAATTTTTGAAAATGTTAGAGTGAAAATTTTCATCTTGGCATGCTACTTCGAGTCCTTGAAAAACTTGAAAAATGTTCTGAAAAGTTCTTGAATATCCTTGAATTTTCATTTTGTAAATCTGTAAGAACCCTAGCTATGCTCACATGCACGCTTCGTCCTCACACTGTGTGTAATGTGCGAGCGTTAGTGAAGCACGCACGGGTAATCATCGGCAACTAATCTCGTGGTTCACTCGTGTTGCATTTTTCACTGTTACAGCTCTCGTTTCATGCTGCTTCCCGAGCTCATGTTCAACATTCAACCACCAACCAAAAATCTAGAAAACAACCGTATAACAAACACGCAAGTAAAGCTGCCCGACGAAAATGGCAACAGAGCAAAGCCTCATAAGAAAAAGTACCAGGTGATGATGATGGCGATAGGGCTATTGCACATTTGTATAGGGCAAGTAGATAGAGAAAATACGCGGGCGTTCTGATAATGATGATACTGGCAGGTATGAAGCTGGGCATTATTTTTACAGCTACACTTTCTAAAATCGCTATTTGTTGTTTTGAAGTGTTGTGGAGAAATAAGGGGAATATAATTGTGTACATTATCCTGAAACATTTGGTATTCTGAAATTTGCAGTAGTAAAATATTTTCACATTAAACCAATGGACATTTGGAAGGGGGTTTAGAAGTCGATCTGAACATCTGAAAAGATGACAACATTTGACTGTATAACATTACAATTTATTGCTATCACTTTCATTGCTTCAACCTTGTGCTAAAGCTTCGATATTTTTTTATAACATAATGGCAGTGTTCACAAAAGCAAAAAAGATGTCTGTAAGGTGCTCAAAGGAAGGGGGATGGTGTCTGGTTATCAGATGAACAGCCTAGCAAAGAGAGCACAGGACTGCTCACCAAGTGCGCACAAGTATTCTTGTTCATTTAGCCACTGTGCTCCATTACACAGCGCTTATAGACTTGGTGACTAAGCATCGAAGCTTGGGCATGTTGGTTGAACATTGGCGGTAACACAGTGCAA